TATATGTATGGATGTCTGTATGTGTGCCTGTGGGTAAGTGTGGTGTATGTGTCTGTCTGTCTGTGTGTGTCTGGGTGAAGGAAAGGTTGAGTGGTGGTTGTTGTAAGTGCTGTCAAGTCAGTTCTGACCCATAGCGACCCTGTAGAGAGTTTCTGAGGAGTGGCTGGTGAGCTTGAACTGCCAATCTTGTGGTTCAAACTGACTTAGCAGTCCGGCAGTATAGGGGCTTAAGTCATGTGGAATGTTATTCTTCCTTGTGTAACAGTCTGGCCATTCGAGCTCTGCTCCGTGGGGCCACTCAGGGACCCAGGTTCCTTCCACATGGGGATCTGTGGCCCCTGGACTGTGTCCTCATGTGACAGGCATGCTCTCATGTAGCAGACGTGTCTGCATGTGGCATGTGTGCCTTCATGTACCAGGTGCATCTCGTGTGGCAGGTATGTTGTGTGACTTCCGTGTGGGGGCTCTATGCTTGTCTGTAGGTGACAGGCCTCAGCCTTCCATCAGGACACCAACATCAGTCATGCTCCGTGGGGTGACGGGTGACTCTGGGCTGATCCCACGCCTTTAAGCGTGTGAGAGGGAATCCAACCCCCACTTCCTCTCAAATTCCAGAGGGAGACTTCCAACCCCTCCGTGCAAAGACTTAGTCCCCTTCTTTGCACAGAAGGGTTGGAAGTGTCTACAGCTGGGCAGTGTGTGCCCAGCAGAAAGAAAGTCTGGGTCTTGGGGTCAGCTGGCAGCCCCCCAGTTGGTACTGTCCAGGTGGCCAGGGCAGTTTAGCCCCTGTGCATCCTTCTGGTCAGCTGAGAGACCCCTGGCATCTTCATTGGGTAGGGAGAGGCTCAGTCCAGGTGGCTCAGAGAGGGCCCTACTGCCCACCCCTCCCACATTCATCAGTCTTGACTCTGAGAACCAGCTGCTCTCTCCCATCCCCCCTGTTTTTCACGCTCGCCCACGGTGGCTCTAGGTGTTTACCTGACAACGCATGGCCGTCAGAAATAGCGGACACACCTGCTGCTGTTGCCAGGACGACCTGCCCACAGTTTCCATCTCGATGGACCCCAGGCTTCCGGTAGGGTGCATTCAGGGCAGTGGGCTGTCCCTGGCCTCTGACTGCTTGTCAGTCCGCCTCCCCATGGTGTCATCTTGAGAGACAGTGGCCCCCGCCTTTTGCTGTGTGGCTGAGAACTGTTTTCTGAAGGCAGCTCTGTCGGGGGGCCTTGGGGAAGCCACTCAGCTTTTCTGGGCCTCAGCCACTTTCTTGCTGAAGCACTAGATATAATGTTGTCATTGTTGTTAGGCACTGTTGAGTTGGTTCACACTCAGCGTGACCCCATACACAACAAAACAGACCTTGCCTGGTCCTGCGCCCACCTCACAATCATTGTTACCCTTGAGCCCCACTGCTCCTGCCACGGTGCCAGGCCATCTCATTGGGGGTCTTCCTCTTTTTCTCCAACCCTCCACTTTACCAAGAATGATGTCCTTCTCTAGCAACTGGTCCCTCCTGATGACATGTCCGAAGTCTGAGAGACGAAGCCTCGTCATTCTGGCTTCTAAGGAGCACTCTGGCTGCGCTTCTTCAAACACAAGTCTGTTTCTTCTTCTGCTAATCTATGGCACTTTCAAAAGTCTCCTCCAGCACCAGGACTCAAAGACATCAGTTCTTCTACAGTCTTCCTTAGTCACTGTCCAGCTTTCTCATGCATGTGAGGTTATTGAAAATACCATGGCTTGGATCAGGTGCACCTTAGTCGTCAAACTGACCTTTGCTCTTGACCACTTTAAAGAAGTCTTGTATAGCAGATGTACCTAGTGCAGTGCATTGTTGGATTTCTTGACTGCCGCTTCCAGGAGTGTTGATAGTAGATCTAAGCGAAATGAAGTCTTTTGCAACTTCAATCTTTGCTTCATTTATCATATGTTATTTATCGGTCCAGTTGTAAGGATTTTTGTTTTCTTTAAATTGAGGTGCGTCCTATACTGATGGATGTGCTCTTTGATTTTCATCACTATTTTAAGTCCTTTTCACTTTTCAGCAAGCAAGGTTGTGTCATTTACATGTTGCAAGTTGTTAATGAGTCTTCCTCCAACCCTGATGCCATGTTCCTCTTCATATAATAGAGCTTGCCAGATTATGTGCTCAGCATATGGACTGAGTAAGTATGGTGAAAGGGTACAACCCTGGCACACACCTTTCCTGATTTTAACCATTTCTTGGTCTAAGTACAGGTACCTCAGGAGCATAATTAAGTCTTGTGGAATACCCATTCTTGGCAATGTTGTCCATAGCTTGTCGTGACCCATACAATTGAAAGCCTTTGCGTAATCCATGAAGCACAAGTAAACATCTTTCTGGTGTTCTCTGCTTTCAGCCCTGATCCGTCTGATGTCAGCAATGATAGCCCTCATTTCACGTCCTCTGCTGAATCTGGCTTGAACTCTGGCAGCTCCCTCTCAATGTATTGTTGCAAATGTTTCTGAATTATCTTTAGGAAAGTTTTACTTGTATGTGATATTAATGATATTGTTTGATGATTTCCACATTCCGTTGGGTCACCTCTCTTTGGAATGAGCATAAATACGGATCTCTTGCAATGACTTGGGCAGGTAGCTGTCTTCCAAACGTCTTGGCATAGAAGAGCGAGTGTCTCCAGTACTGCCTCAGTTTGTTGAAAGATTTCAGTTTGTTTTCCATCAGGTCCCGGCGCCTTGCTCTACGCCTATGCTTTCAGTGCACCTTGGACTTCTTCCTTCAGCACCGTTGGCTCCTGATCATATGCTACCTCTTGAAATGGTTGAAAATCGACCATTTCTTTTTGGTACAGTGACTGTGTGTATTCCTTCTATCTTCTTTTAATGCTTCCTGCATCATTCACTACTTTGCCCAGAAAATCCTTCAGTAACTACTTTTTATCGGGAACTTGCTGTGTTGAAAGAAGATCCGGGGCACAGACGCGGAATGATCAGAGGAGGACTGGTGTGCACTGGTGGGCAGCTCCCTGTGTCCTGTGGGCTTCCTTACCCAACAGTGGCCTCTGGAATCCTCTACACTCAGTGCTGAGCCCCAGGCCCCCCTTCTCAGCGTGTGGACAGTGAACTGACCGTGAGCCAGTAGCAGTTGCTGCCCTTGCTTACGGAGAGAGCCCCGGAATGTGCCCTCACCCCGAGGCAGCGCCTGCTGAGTGGCATTGGCACGTAGTCCTCTTGCTTTGAGCTCCATTCCTGAGGGGTCCGTGTATGGGTGCATGTTGTGGGGGGGCTCCTTCCCAGAGTCATCTCTTTATACCTACTGTCCCTCCCAGCTGTGCTACTTGATCCCAGGCAGAGGCGTCAGAGGCTGGCCTTGGAAATTCAGCTGCTAAACACCTGTTTACTCATCTGGCTTGATTTTGGAGGCAAAATAACTCAGAGAAAGGAGCCCTGCTAACTGAATGGCCAGTGGTTTGACAGACCTGGTGACCGCCCCTAAAGATGAGCAAAAATAAAAGCCTTTGCTGTCAAGTCAATGCCGCCTCATTGAAATCCCTTGGTGTGGAGTACATCTGCTCCTGCCTGGGTCGCTGAGGCTGTCTCATCCTTCACCCACTGACCAGCTGGTGGGTTTGAACTGCTGACCTTTGAGCTAGCAAGCCGGCATTTCATCACCGCACCACCAGAGTTCCTGTAAAGAAGACAGTCTCGGAAACCCTCTGGGGCAGCTCTACTTGGTCCTGTCGGGTCACTGTGAGTCAGAATCGGTTGATTGATGGCCATTGCGATGGTTGTGATTTTAGACCCAACAAGGAGCCCGATGGCGCACAGGTTGAAGAGCTTGGGTACTAACCAAAAGGTGGGCAGTGTGAGCCCACCAGCCGTCCGGTGGGGGGAGGAGGAGGAGGCAGTGTGCTTTCGTACAAGATTTCTCACACAGCAGTTGTGCTCTCTGCTATAGTGTTGACTCAAGGGCACTGGGGGGCTCTTTGTTAATCTTTATGGGAGCAGGTCGCCAAGGCTTTCTCCCTCAGAACAGCTGGTGGGTTCAAACCACCCACCTTTTGGTTAGCAGCTAATCTGCTTCCTGTCTGAGGATTTTCCTGTTCTGGAATCTCGTGTCAGTGGGTGACGCAGCATTTGTCCTTTTGTGTCTGATGTTGTTCGCTCAGCACAATGTTCTTCAGGTCCCCACTAGGACCTCAGCCCCTCTTATGACTGAATCATGTTGTGTTTGCTTTCCTGTCAGTTGATGGACACTTGGAATGTCTATGTGAACTTCCGTTTTCAGATCTTGTGGACACACCCCGGGAGCGGGGTGGCTGGGTCACATGGGGTGTCTGGTTGTGGTGCTGTTAGATAAGCACTAGATTGCAAGCTCGGTTTGAACCGCAAGGTTGATGGTTCAAACCTATGAGCCATTCCTCACAAACCCTAAACCCTATACAGGGTCGCTATGAGTCTGAACCAACTTGACGACATGTAACAACAACACCATGCTGACTCATGTACTGAGTCACGGTTCTTGTGGACACACCCCGGGAGCGGGATGACTGGGTCACGTGGAGTTGCGGAGTCAAGTTCTGGATCACAGTTCTTGTGATGCCGGGCATATCCCAGAGCTGGCACACAGTTCTCACGGGCACATGCCAAGAATGGAGTTGCCACATGGTGACTGTGTTTCACCTTTGATTTCTTGCTTGCTCTTTTCTCTTGCCTGTTGGCTCGAGAGTGACTTGTGGGGGGGGTTTGGGTATCTGTGTCTCCACTGCCTAACCAAGGAGGCCATGGTGGGTGCAGGAGGAGGACCAAGCCAGGAAGGATGAGAGGCCCAGGGCTCCATCTGTGGGCTGCGTCCCTTCCAAAAGGCAGCTCACGTCCCCACCTGGGCCCCCTCCAGGAGCCCCCCAGCCAGCTGTGTGAACCTGTGTCTTCCCTGACCCCTGTCTCGTTGCAGCTGCCCCGGTGGACTCGAGTGAGTTCCAGGAGCTGTTCCAGGCAACCACAGCTGGCGTCTTCCGCATCAACTCCAATGGTGCGTCTGTGCCAGGCCAGGTTCCTCAGGCCCAGAGCTGGGCACTGCGTACCTGGGCAGGAGGCAGGGCCCCTGAGAGTGGAGTCAACCCCCTCCTCCCCGACCCGCACCCCCCCAGGCTGGTCCCTCCCTGACTCTCTGGAGTCTCGGACACCAAGAGGAGAGGAGATGGGAGTGGCCTTCCTTAGACTTTACTGCTGTCCTCGTATTGTCCAAGCCACATGCTCAGGACAGCCGGGTGACTCAGCGTGGGACCGTTGTGGACAGTGTACTAACTGGGTCCTCGCCCCCACCCCCCGCCCCTGCCTCCCTGTGCATGTGGGACCATGGGGCGCTGCCTGGAGTGAGGCCTTTCCTGGAGCCTAATATCACCCACTTCTCTTGGCAGTGACTTCCCTGGAACGGAGCCTCCGATCCCTGGGGACATCAAGTGACACTCAGGAGCTACGCGACAATCTGTGAGTATGTGTAGGGATGGGGCCATGTCTCTGTACCTGCATACGCTCACGGGGTCAGATAGGAGACGCCATGGGCACCTTCACATACCTGCATACCCAAGCACCCTTACGTAACATCTGGCCATCCCTGCACACCTAGACTTGTCCGCACTCTGCCTGCCCACAGCCGCCTGTGAACAGACGCTCAGACCTGTCTCACCGCCTCATTGAAGCGCACAGGTCTGTGCACATGGCTCACAGGCAGAAGAGGCCTGGGCCTCAAGCCCAATTATGTTGGCAGACCCTGGCTTAGTAGCCCCTATCTGCACACAGCTGCCCACACACGTAGATACCTGGTGGACGTGCTGATGTCTGCTCACAGACACTAGCGCATGCTCCCCACACAGCAGAGCTCAGCAGGGGCCTACACACACCTGCTCTGGTGGAGCCTACATGCTGACAGTAGGTTCTGGGGTCCCTGAGAGGTGGAGTGGGACCTTACTTACTTCAATGTGGTCCCCTGAGGGGCTTGATCCTCCTCTGAACAGCAGTCTTTGTATAGAGGGGTTCCTCCTGGATGGGTGGTCTCTGAGGTGCCAATGTGCAGTCCTGGGGGGGTTGGCCTCTTAGGACCCATGAGAAGCCTGCCCTGGGATGGATCGGGGCGGACACACAGGGGACACTGGATACAGGGGACACTGGACACACAGGACAGTGGACATATGGGGGACATTGGACACATGGGGACACCGGACACACAAGACAGTGGACATATGGGGGACATTGGACATGGGGGGCACTGGGCACATGGGGACACCGGACACACAGGACAGTGGACATATGGGGGACATTGGACATGGGGGGCACTGGACACATGGGGACACCGGACACACAGGACAGTGGACATATGGGGGACATTGGACATGGGGGGCACTGGACACATGGGGACACCGGACACACAGGACAGTGGACATATGGGGGACATTGGACATGGGGGGCACTGGGCACATGAGGGACAGTAGACTCCTTAGGGGCACTCCCAAGGCTGTGCCCGCCATATTGTCTGGCTTTCTTTCCTGTGCCAGCCCCCAGGAGGGGAGTGGGTGGGGGCCAGGTCACGTGGACTCTCGGGTGGGTGCAGAGTGGTGCCTGCAGGGACCTTTCCCCGAGGATGGGGAGTGGACATCCAGGGGCTTCCAGGCACCATGCCGGCTCGCCCACAGGGCTCTGCCCTGGACTACTTTGCATGCCCATCACGTCCTGTGAAGAAGGTAGCTCAGCTACCCATGGCAGCTGGACCACAGTGGGACAGGCCCCTTCTGGCCACACCGAGGACTTTCCCTGCCCTGAGTGGGGAGATGGGGCAGGCCTCGGACATGTGCGCTGGGCCAGCTTCTGGTTGCTCCTGTGGCTTTGTGACCACTGCCCTGCTCTTCCTTTGGGGACCTCCGTTGCTATGGAGACAGCAGTATCAGTACTGGCAATGATGCTTCCTACATCCCTGAGTGGGTGGGCAGCCTTGTTCCACTCCCCCCTCACCCCCCACTCCTCATCCAGCCTACTCTGCATTCCCTTCTTGTCTCCTGTCCACTCTCTGGCCGGTCGTGGGAGTTGCAAAGATGGCTTCCTTGTGCCAGGATGGGGGAGAACTGCTACACAGCTGTGTGTTGAGACCCACAGGTTTGGGGGACAGGCCTGCGAGAGCAGGAGACTCTGTGTGCTGTTTGAACCAGGAGTGTCCTTGTGTGCAGGTGAGGGGCAGCCACAAGGAGCTGAGAGGACATGCTGTGGGGGACAGGCCTGGTGAGTGCTGCCCTGAGGCCCAGCAAGGGGCTTCAAGGAGGAGGCGTGGTGTGCCACGATCCGGGACATGGTTTGAGAAGCGGATCAGGGAACTCTGAGTGCCCGGCTCTGGGGGCCAGCTGACCACTCCCTGCAGGTTTGCTGGTGATGAAGTGCTGTCTTGGTGGCCAGACCTCTGTGGATGTTCGTGCTTACTGAGTGCCCCCCAGTCAGCCCCTGCTCAACTTCCTCCTGGTCTGACCCTTGGCCCTGAGGCCCCTGTGGGGCAGCACGTGGGGTGAGCACTGGCCTGTCCTTTGCTGATAGCCCAGCTGCACAGGTCATGCTAGTTACACACTAAGCTCTTGTTCACAGGCTGGGCCCATGACAGACGGAGAGGACTGGGCCTCCTGACTCCGGGCCCAGGCTCTTCTGCTGGGGGTGGGATTGGTGAGGGCATGGTGGTCAGACTGAGACTTGTGTGGACACAGATCACAACTGAGACCCTGCCCAGGAACCTTAACACTTGGGTCCCGCAACCATGGGCTGCCCCACCCCCACCCAGACAGGATCAGTTACCACCCTGGAGATAATCCCGCACCTTGATCTTCGATGGTGCAGTGGGCTGAGGGAGTTAGTGCTGACAGACAGCCTCCCAACCTCACGGACCCCACATTACCCCCTGAGCCACAGGGTTTCTCACTCCTGCCCACTCAGCACACGGGGTGGGGGCACTCCCCTCATGCCCATCTGCTGGGAGAATGTCTCCCAAGGAATGTAGCCCAGCACTTAGGCACACCTGGCTCACCAGCCGGGATCCTTGGACCAAACAGGAGAGCACCTCCCCTGCTAAGCTGGCTCCACTGTGGTGCCTCCCCCAGGTTCCCTTACCTCCTGACCCCTCTCATCTAGGACCCCGGGATAGCTGTGGGACGATGCTGCTCCATTTCTTGAAGACTAGTGACTTGGGTCCAGACCTCAGAGAAGGCAGTGTGGAGCTGGTCTCAGGTCTGGGAATGGGAATGGGGCCAGGGCTAGAATCTCAGGGGGCATCCACGTCTGCCCTAATCACCACAGGACGCTTTACCCTGTCTATCTTTCTGGGTTGGAAAGTGCACAGTCTGCTCACTGCTCAGGACAGCAGCTACCTCCTCCTCCTAAAGGCCATGGGGGGGTTTGACCCAAAGGTGGCAAGACCTTAGGACAGGCGACTGGGGAGGACGGTGGGTTGGAGGGACTTCCTCCCACCAAACATCCCCATGGAACCTGCATTTTAAACCTCAGATACACGCCACTCAATTGGACTTTTCATGTTTGTTGAAAAAATTACGTCAGTTCATATAGGATCAAGCATGCAGTGATCTGGAATGCAAAGATCTGGAATCAGAAAACCAAAAAGGAAGAACACGCTTAGCATTTCTCAAGCTGGGGGAACTGAAGAAAAAAAATTCAAGCCTCGACTTTCGTTATTGAAAGATTCTCTGGGCAAATTATTGAATGATGCAGAAAGCATCAAGAGAAGAAGATGGAAGGAAT